GAACACAGCTCTTGATTTTGGTCCAGTGACTAAATTTCAGACTTCTAACTTTCAGAACAGTAAGATAATAAATGTGTGTTGTTTTAAGCCACTATGTTTATGGTAATTTGTTACAGCAGCAATGAGAAACTAATACAACTAATAAAACTATAAGTAAATCGTTATTGTTCAGACCATGTTCAGTTTCTCCCAAATATTTCAAAAATATCTTTTTTCAGTTAGTTGGTTCACAGGTTGTATTGTTTTAAATGTAATTAAGCATCTAGAGGGCCAGTAAATTTTTTTATTATTATCTGGTTTAAACCAAATTAATAAAAACTGAATCCAAATAAATAAACACATAATCAATAAATATAGCTCACAAGTCACTCACTACTGACCCGGGCAAGTCACCTCCATTCTGGGCCTGGACTTCCTAATCTGAAAAGCGATGGGGTGGGGCTAGACAAGGTATTCCTTCTGGGATCTGCGAAACCAGATGCAAAGGAGGGAGGGGTCTCAACCTGGTCTGTGCCTTAAAATCCCCTACAGATTCCCTCACTCCTCCTCCCAAGGATGTTAAATACAAGAGCTTGGGGGTTCTCCTGTGTGAGGCCCACATCCCAGAGGCCGGTATAAATTTAGAGACTTAACAGAGTCAGGGAAAGAAAATATCCTGGGCTTACTCAACAGCATATTCAAAAGAAGATTTTTGCCTCATGACACACCAATTCAATTCAGCCATCATCATGGTTTATTCTCTCTGAGCAAGGGAGCTGAGCTGGGTGCCAGACCAGCAGAGTTGCCAGCCTGAGCAAATGAAATACAGGATGCCCAGTTAAATTTGAATTTCAAATAAATAATGAATCATCTTTTAGTATAAGTGTACCCCCCAAACAATATTGGAGATATGCTTATCCTAAAAAAATGACTCATTGCTCATCTGAAATCAAATTTAACTGGAAGTCCGTGCTTTATCTGGATCTGACTTGATCGTGCTCCCAGAGGACCAAGGCAAACACCAGTTCCCAGGATCTAGTGAAACGCTCCAGAGGAAGGTGGGAGGGGCTCCCAAAAAGATGTTAAGAAAGAAAAGCAGAGAGAAGGTTTGAGAATGACCTTATGAGAGTCTGAAGCTGAAAGGAGCAGGTGACTCCTAATCTAATCATCTCCAGTCACCATAGAAACCACCAAAGTCTGTCGGAAAAAACCGGTGAACTCCACCATCTACCACCTCTCTGCCAGGGTAGATCATTCACATTCCCCTCCCAGGATAGGTCTGGTCGGGAATGGTTCCACTGTCTCAGTTTCTCTCCCAGGAGACAGCTGGGACCTGATCCTACCTTCTTCCTCCCAAGCCTCTTCTTCCTGCCAGCCACAGACTCAGATGGCTGCCCTGTAGCAGCTACCCTGTTGGGAGAGATAGCAACTGGATACCTAGCCCCATGTCGCAGAAAAATCAGAGCCAGATAGTGGTTAACGCAATACAAATAGATTTTATTCAGGACGATTGCAATAGAGGAAAAGAGACCTTGGTGTGGAATAGGGCTCCATTCCAAATACAGCCTGGGCAAGTGGGAATTTATAACCAAGGAGTGGGGTGGGGGTCGGTGTATGGAAAATGACTAAGAGAGATAACGGGGATTCTGGCTAAACCGACCTAACAGGATTCTTGCTGAAGACAGGCCCCGGTGATCAAACATCACCTGGGAGATAGTGGAGGATGAAGAACCCAGTAAGATATGGAAAGAGATCAGATGTGGAGGGTAGGGGGTTCTAGTTAAACCAACTTAGCAGGGCTGTTGCCAAAACCGGATTTTATATGGAGGTGCCCATACAAGAGTGGAAGAAGATTCAGGAGCTCACCTAAAGTTTGGTCAAGCAAAAAATCTTTGTCACCTGTCCATGAGGAGGTCACATTCTAGCAGGGGAACAGGACACAGGAGGGAAATGGCCCAAGGACATACAGGAAAAGCTTGTTCAGAACAAAACAGGTCTGACCTGGACTGTCCGTCCACCTATCCCTGTCCCTTCCTGACTAGAGTGAAGCTCCTAATCCAAAATGTGATTAAATTGATTGGGGAAATGTTCAATCTTCCAGACAAGACACAGGCAGGCAGTAAGCTTTGAATACAAATGCAGGAGTTTGCAGTGACGCATTTCATATCTGACTCTGGAAATGAGAGGCTCTTTGAAGGTAGCATGCAAATTTGTTCAAAATGTCCCCAGCCAGAAAACTGGATCATGCACTTATGCAAATCACGAGACATGCTTTTTAAGGCACAGCCTTGGGTCCTTCTGTGTACCTCTCTGCTGGGCCAGCCCTGACCTCAGAGCAGCAATACCGATTCTCCCCATGGGGCCTCCCACTGCCCTTCCACATCGGTCCTCCTTCCCTTTGCACACAAGCGCTGAATGTTATTGTTCCCATTTTACAGATAGGAAAGTAGGGCTCTGAGTCATGAAGCGACTAAGCCATGGTCACTTTGCTCTAAGGGGCAGAGCCAGCCAGAAGCTGCCCTCTCTCGCTTCCCTAGTGTAGGACAACTTGCACAGATGTCATTCCACTCCTGAAGATTCCACACTTTTAGAGGAACATGAAGAATGTCCTATCTCCCTCCACTGGCCTACTACCCACACATAGGATTCTGTGGAGGGGGCACCCCTACCACTTAGTAAATTTCTTCCCTTTGCTAAAAATTTGCTAAATTTGCTCCCTTTCATGTAACTCCAATCTTCACAGAAGCTGCTGTCTTTAATCAAGACAATCAAATCTGAGCAATTCAAGACAACTTCTCCTCTGATGGCCAAGAACACCACACAGAGAAGACTGGCCCACCTTTGACTTTGTACAGGCTCAGAAAGTTTTGAGGTTTGGTTTGTGGCATATTACTTAATCCAGGAAACCAGGGCTTCCAAAATTATGAGTCCACTCTGTATCCAACATACGCATTAAGCTCCATCCCTGAATTTCATCAAATAAGAATCCGGAGGATTTTGCAAACATTCCCACCCAGATTCCTCTCTACTTCTCTCAGAATTTCCATCTCCTGATGCTCTGATGCCTCTTAACCCAAGGCTCACTGCCACCTGTAGACAGTAATGTTAACCCTAGTTTGCACCTGTGAAGCCTAGCCAGTTTGGCAGAGACCTGGAGCCTCACTCTAGGTCACCCCCCAGTGCAAAGGCTGGCTGGTCACCCCCATGGCGTCCACATGGTTGTCTCTGCCTGGAATGCCCCCTTCTCCACCTGGAGCAATCCGGCTTCTCCTTCAAGTGCCTGCCCAAATCTCCCTGGAATTCCAGCTTCATGGGACTGCTGTGAGAACTGAGGTCAAGTACAGGTGGACACAGACAGGGGCACGGAGCCAGGACAGCACTGATTGTCACTGTCATGCCCTTGCTCCTGCCCCTCTTGAGAAATCCACCCCTTTCCCAATTCCCTCTGCCTCTTGCCCACACTGCTGCCCAGTGACTGGTATGCTCACCCCTCTCCTCCATAAAATCCTAAACTCCTTGAGGGCAGGGATCTTATCTTGCTTGTCTTTGGGACCTCATTCCTGGCTCTGGGCCTGGCACTTAGGGAGTTCCATGTATATTTGCCACTAAATCCTCCTGTCTCCTGGGCTCCAGGGACAGCAACTTGATGACTGTCAGAACACTGTGATAAATTAAAAGTCATTGTATGATGTGGCTGTGGACACAGACAAAGACTGTGCTGCTAGTGACATCATGTCGGGCTGGGGACACCACTGGTCATTAGGAATGTTTACTTTGGGACAGAACCCTTGGCTTGTGGGGAAAATGGCCCAGAGCCCCACTAGGTGTGTCACTGTGGCCTGTAGGAACTGTCTCCAATAGGGACGGGGCTATCCAGCCGGTGTGGTCTGCCCTGTCTGTGGCATTCCCTCCTCCGAGAACGCCCTTCCCCTCGTTACCCCCAACCTTTTGTCCGGGACCCCGCTCGTGCACCTTCCCTGTCAGGTCTTCCTGCAATAAAGGGGTCTGGTGCCGTCCCTTCAGAGTTCTTCTGATTCAACACTGGTCACTTTCACGAGTTCAAAGCAGTCTTAGGGCCAGAACGAGGAGTTGGCAGGCAGGTCCTATATCTGCACCTCAAGCAGTAACAAGACCTGCAGTAATGGGGAAAATGTGTCCACTAGGTCAGAAGGAGTTGCCCCAAGGCTTTGCACTCCAGCACGTGGTGTGACGGGGCATGAGATGCAGACTAGAGGCCTAGAGATGAGGTCCGAGGACAGCTGGGGAGCTGAGAACTAGGATTTTAAAAGCCGTGAATCCTCAGCAAACAAGACCATTAGGTCTTTCTGCCACAGATGCCTCAGAGCCGCATCCTGGGAATCCGCGAAGGAGCACTGGTGAAGGGGCTGTGCCCAAGGTACGGATCTGAGGGAGACTGAAGAACCTACATGCACACCCCCATTCCATCACTCACTAGCAAGATCATAAGCTTGGCTTCTCTCAATTTATGAGCTCACCGCTTTCCTCAGCTATAAAATGGTCTCCCGGGGAACTGGAACTAGATTCCTGAGCCACTTTTCTGGAAGATGTGAACAACTCATCCAGAGACACATTCCAGGCTTCCCGGGGGTTCCCTGTGCAGAAGAGATGCCCATGAGGACGTGTCCGCTTTGTGATTGTCTCTGACATCACTCGGCTCGCGATCTCTTTAAACCGTTTACAGAACGCTCTGACATTCACAATGCATTCTCGTTGCACCGTCCCATCAGCCGCTCTTACAAACGGGAAGACCTGGGCCCGTAACTGGCCACTGTCACCCTGCAGAGACCAGAGCGCCGGGGATCTGCTCCGCACAGACACCGCAGGGCAGCCCGGCGCCCGCCCGGGGGGCGGGGCCACGGCGCGGGGGCGGGGCCGGCGCGAGTCACGTGACGCCCGGCCCGGAAGCGCTCGCTCCCGAGACCCCCGGTTGACGGGGTCGGGAGCTGCCGCCGGGAGCGAGCGGGTGGGTCGCGGGGCCCCTGCAGTTTCCCGCTCACCGCATCCGCCGCCATGGCCTGGACCAAATACCAGCTGTTCCTGGCTGGGCTCATGCTCGTCACCGGCTCCATCAACACGCTCTCGGCCAAGTGAGTCCGGGCCCGGCCGGGAGGGGAGGGGGCTCAGCCGGACCTGCCGCGGCCCGCAAGGGCGCCGGCGACCCAGCGCACCTTCCTCGTCCTCCTCCTTCTCGGCTCTCCCTTCCCGGCTTCACCGGCTCGCCTCGTTTCTCCGGTCGGTTCACGCGGTTTTGGGGCCCCCAAGGGGCGCGAGGCCTGGGGAAATCTGGGCCAAGGCCGTGTCACCGGCTGGAGGATCCGAGCCCCCGGCTTTGATCGCTGTGTGCTTGATCCCGGCGAGTCACCTCCCGACTCCATGCCTCAGTTTTTTCATCTTTAAACGGAAGGGTTGGACCAGTTCCTCTCCGGCCCCTTCCAACAATGGCTGGAGGCCGGGCCCTTCAGGAGCTTTGGGCAGGGGTGGGGTGAAGGGGCACTCCCGCACTTGTGCACACCGGCTACAATAGAAGCCATGAGGGCCGAGTGACCAGTGAGCGTGGAAGGCTGCCGCGACAGAGGTGGGGGTACCCCATGGGCTTCTCATTGAGGAGAGGTCAAAGCTGGGCCTTGACATTTTGGTGGGATTTCTACATGTGGCCAGACGTGGCTGCAGGGAACAGCAAGGCCACATCGAAGTGTATCGTAACTAGCACCAAATGCCCAGGCCGCATTTTATCCCACAATCAAAGAAGGGCTTTTGAGCAGGGAGTGACATGTTAAAGGTGATATGATGAACCGGGTGGTCAAGATGAAGAGTAGTTTGGTGCAGGGGAAACCACTGGGAGGCTGCTGCAGAGCAGATGAGGGAGGGAAGAGGGGGCAGTGAGGCAGGCAAGGAGGGGACAGGTGGGAGAGACCAGGTGCAGAATGAAGCCATAAGGCCTGACCCACAGGATCGAGAGAGAGAGAGAGAGAGAGAGAGAGACAGTGAGACAGTGACCCCTCCAGGGTTTCTGCCTGG